CTACCGATACCTTGGTCCATAGTTCGGCCCAAACTCAAAATATGAGATGTCTTTTTGGCCTAAGACCGAGCTACACCATCCCTTATCTCGGCCCATTACACGGTCCAACTCTCAAAGAAGACTCTTCCTAGTTCGGCCCAATTTATTTACAAATTACCCTCTCAAGAGTCCATATAAAATAAGTAAAGTTAGTATAATTTAAATTAGGTTTGACTTTGTATAGAACTCTATATGTAATTAAGAAAATACATGTTGATGTGGCTTTCTTAAAAAAAAAAGTAAGTCCTTATATGGGCACATAAATATGAGAAAAACACTACTTTTAAATCACTACATAAAATACTTCTCACCCACAAAAATTTAATGAATCCCATATCACATGATGATATATGGGCACATAACTTTCATAAATTGATAGTATTTGATACTTTTAGCCACGTTTTAATTAATGCCGGTAATATTGTTATATAATGAATAGGTTTAACGTCTTTACATAATACTTGTCTTAATTGTAAAGTCAATACTTGCTAAAGTATTCATGATTTGTCCATTTATTATGAATCAACATTGACTATGTATTGCTTGATTAGCATTCACCAGATAGTTTGATGAATGAGAAAAAGATTATAGTAATTAAATGTGGAAAACATTTATGAAAAAATAAAATGTTTGATAACATTCACATTTTATATAATAGAATGAATTTATAAAGTTAATCAAAAGGCTCAGGGAAGAAATATTTGTATAGTGGTTAGGTTTACGCATGAACAGCATAACAATATATAATATTTTTCTTATTAATATATTGTGTTTTAGTGGAATCGTTTGCTAGTTATTTTAGCAATGATCCTGTGGTGGATATATGAGATCTAGAGTAGTTAATTTGATTCCCAAATATACAGACGACAAGGGAACACCGTTTGCTCCATATTTGTTTAGAGAATGGTTGGCCAAACCAAGCCCAACATCTGACTTCTAACTACTCTCTCTGATTAAGATGCTCTTGTTTTGTAGATATAAATAAATACGTGTATCTTGTAAATGTAATCAGCTCGATTTTGGTCGGAATTAGAAAAAAAATTAGTAACGAGCTGAATATTTCAATTCTATTGATTCAGGAATCGAGGCTGAGATTACTCTATAATTGCCTCTATCGTAACTTTTATTGTAATATATGTAGCATTGATCACTTTAATTAAAATTTTAAAAATATTTAAATATAAAATTTCAAGGGGATGTACCAATAAATCTCAAATTAATAACTTATGCACTGTTTAGTCCTAAAAGTTTTCTTATAGACTGAAAGGTCCCATTACAATGTTAATAACCATTCCTACGAACATGTGTACAGTGCATTACTATTTCACATGCTGCTAAGTAGGTCTACGAATGAACCGAGCTGTTCATAAGCAAACTTGGCTCAGCTCTGCTCCTCAGTTCGTTTAGTAAATGAGCCGAGCTCGAGCTCTCATAAGCTCGGCTCATTAAACTCGGCTTGTTTATTTTTATTTAAATTATATAATAAATATATTATTTATATATTAAATAATATAAATAATATTAAAAAAAAATTATCTAGCCGAGCCAAGCTCGAGCTCAACAAGGCTCAGCTCGGCTCGACTCGACTCGACTCGATTTGATTCGTTTGCAGCCCTACTGCTAAGTGCTGGGAAATTGGTAAGAAAGAGGCAACATTTGAGATGGACAATAGGCTGAGATTCTTTGTAATAAAAAAATCTGCATGCTTTTTCTCTCATTAATTTTGATTGTATGATTCCATTTTATTATTTAAATTAAAAATCAGATTGCATAATTATTAGGTGTTAGTAAAATTTTGGTTTGGGATTGATCGACATATGCCAATCGACAAATAACCTAAAATTTCACAAAAACAAAATGAAAGATTAAGCAACTGTTGTTGAGTTTTATACTTGAACGCTGTATTTGGTTGGGGGATTTGAGAAGGAATTTGGAAGGGAAAATGGAAAAAGTAAGTGAAATGTACATAAAATATATTTATATTTCACCTAGTTTCACACACTTTTTACATTTTTCTTTTAAATCTTTTTTCAAATCTTTCAACCAAACATAACGTAACAGATTAAAAGACTTCTTTGAAGTCAATCAATTGAAACAAACAAACTAAAATTGAAATTATATAACCGAAATCGTTACTTGTTACAAGCATGAGAACAAGAATAAGAAAAAAGAACTAAATGCTACACTAAATTACAAAAGAACTACTCCTAAGCATCCTAATTTCACAAGTGTTGTGAATGTGTTTGATTATGATTCATCTTTGGATCTCCTAGCTTTTGAACCTCCACTTGGTTACGAACTCTGCAACCACACGTGCCTTTATGATTTCTGCAAATGCACTCCCTCTCCCTTGGGCCTTGTTTGACTCAACTGTCCATCTAATTCAAGTGCTTGTAATTGCCCCTTCTTTACATGCCTTCCTTTGTCTATTCACGTGCTCCAGATGCAGTCTCACTTCAAGACACATGCCCACTTTACCTCAAAGCATTTTGAACCATTAGCACGTCTCCTTGCCCACATTATCACTTCTATCCACAGGCTAAATTACATAATTTAGTACCAACATGAGGCATAAAATAAGAAATAAGGGGACATAAATCATTTTAGGGACAAACAATCCTATGCCATGAGTAATGATGTTTAGTGCCATTGACAGAACAAAAACCAATTTTCCTAAATTGGGGGTGTTTGTAGAAAAGTAGGGTGCACAATGCTGGGGTTGGTTAGTTATTGTCCACATAAATGGATAGGAGCAATGCTAGGGATAACGCAAATGGGCCTAGTAGTTGCCATCAGTCAATTCCTTTATTGGGGTTGTGTTGTATATGAAAGAGATTATGACTGTTTGGCTGTTGCACTTTTTTCTTTAGGTACCTCTTGGAATCTGTGGATTCGCACTAACCCTGTTTTCAGGCCCTAAATTACCCTCTGCTTCCCACGCCCCAAAATTGATAAATATGATTCACACCTGTTTGGCAAAAATTTTAAAATTAATTTTTAAGATAATAAATATTAAATTAAAATACTTTAAATAAGTTTTATAAATATTTGGTGCAGTGTTTTTGAAAAACATGTGAAAAAGTTAAAATTACTAGTCAAATAACAGTTTTTTGAAATGTAAAATTAAAACACATATATATATATATATATATTTATTATAAATATTTATCTATTTTTTTTAACAGGTATGCTTGTAATTATGAAAACATTGAGGGATTTTTTGTCCAATTTCCAAAAGTTTAAAAAGTTAAGCTGAAAATAGACCCCGAGTCTTTTCGAAAAAAAAAAAAGCTTTTTTAAAATAAAAATAATAAAATAAAGATAAACTGCTTAAATTATACAAGTTAAATGTAATAAGTTATGCCAAACACATATTCCACTATTTTTTAATTCAAATTGTGCAATTGAAAATTTTTACCAAGAAAGACTAGAAAGTAAAGAACTCTGATGTGCTGACATCAGAATTCAATTGATGGATTGCATATTTTTCACAACTTTCCTCAATGTATTGCAGTTCAATTGTATGATGATGTCAGAGGAATTAGCTGTCCCAAGACTATGTATTCTTCATTTTAATTTTATATAATGCAACTCAATTTCTCTTCCTACAAAAAAAGAAAAAGGAAAAAAAGGAACTCCGTTATGAAATACTCTTAATTACATAGAATCGATCTATGGCCCTGTTTGAGATAAAGGTTGGAGCTAAAATAGTCATGTAGACTAAAATAAGTTATTTTAGCCAAATAAAATAAAATGTCACATTCAATACATAATTATTTTATTTTTCTTTTACAAAAATTAAAAAAATTAAAAAATTTATTATAAACGAGACTTTTTAACTTAAGAGTAACATAGTCAAAATGCAAAAAACTAACCCATATCCCAAATCAACTAATATGAAACAGTGTGTAGTGGAGTGCCTTAGTAGTTTCAGCTTTTCCCAGTCTTTTTGGGCGAATAAGCTTTTCCCAGTTGATCCTTCTTCAGAGAAAGAAAAGAAGAGCAAAGAAACAAGAGAATAACTCCAACATTGTAAAAAACAGCATCATCATCATACATGCAATCAACCATGCATGTTACTCGTGTATACGAGCCAAATCGGCCGCCCAAACACTCCCACATGATCCAATAAAACCAGTGGATCCAAACATCACCCCAGATCCTCCCAATTCCACTTGATTAACTTTCACTTGACCAAGTCGAGCACAAAAAGTCAAAACAAATATCAAGTAGAGATATTATGAAGCTACTCAACCTTAATAATTACACATAAAGACAAACACATCCTTTGTTTTAAGCTATAAAAATGTTATTTATCCAGAAATAAATCACACGACGAGACAAAGCCTCACATCGTGTCGCACTTGCATATAGTATTTGTATTCTATTATATGATTTGTTTATAAAGAATTGATAATATATTATTTCTTTTTATTTTTTATTTTTTTGAACCATTTTATATCATTAAGTAGAAGTATGATGTACTATTGTTCACATGATGTTTTAGCCAATCATGTAGTAAAAAATGTCCTATAAAATTGTGAAGTTTCATTTTTCAAAGCATCAGATTATCTAATAATCTTTTCATTAACTGTCTGTCTATTTATTATTTGATTTTATTATTTTTTAATAGTTATGTTTAAATAATGAAAAAATCATAAATATTACATAAGTGATAATATAAAATTATGACAAAAAAATAACAAGTAGTCTGAAAACACACTTAATTCAAAAAATAAAACCCAAACCACATATTAAAAATTATGAGTAGAATTTATGAATTTGTAAAGTAAGAAATCAAAAATCAATACACAGAAAAATTCAAAAAATACAGCGTGTGGTCTGTCAATTCTTTGTCCTTGATATGTGACATTTCTTTTGTGGGTTAGTGTTAAGTTAAATAAAAACAAATAAAAAGAAAAAAAAGAGAGAATTAAGGGATAATAAACAAAAGAAGAAAAAGGAGCAAAGACCCACCACCATCACCCAGCTTTGCCTTCTCCTCATTCCTCGTCTTGGATCTCTCATCATCCCTCTCTTCAATAAAGAAAAAGGAAAAAAAAACAAAAAAAAAAGCTCTCTCAAAGTTTTAAAAGCTTCTCTCTCTCTCTCATCCATGAACAAGAGAGCTTCCACTGCAGCAATTCTCTCCTGTTTTCTTGCTCTGCTTTTCATGGCACTCCTCACTTTCGTTCCAAACTCCTCAAAGCCCAAAAAACAAACCTCCAAGCCAAAGCGAAAGCATCATAAGAATCGACCATCCTCATGGGACCAAATCAAGAACTTGCTGAGCTGCAAGCAGATGGAACAATCAAAAGTTCACGACCCATCAAAGACCTCTGCTGGGTATGCGAAGTTGGGGTCTTGTAGTTCGATATGTAGCTTCAGGGACGTGGTTCATGGCAACACAAGCAGGGTGGTTCACAGAGCCGATAACTCGCCTGAAAGTAGCTCGCTGGGTCAGGAAACCAGGCTGCTCAGTCGCAAAGCTGTTAATGGCTCGACTTCCAATCGGTCTTTGTCGAGCTCTGCAAGATCCAACGCTAGCGGTGTGACTCACACTTCTTCTTCTTCCAAAGGCATGCAGCTGAGGAAGCTTTCTGGGTGCTATGAATGTCGCACCATCGTTGACCCCAGCAGGTATTTTTTCTTTTTTTCAATTTTTTCAAAACGATTGGGTGTTTGGAAAACTATTATTTTAGGAGGCTACTTTAATTTAATTTATTTATTTATTATTATTTTTTTTTTTTGACTATTTTGATAGGTTAAAATTTTTGTGTTTAGAAAAATAGTTTGATTTTTTTATAGTTGGATGTGATGTTTGTGAGAGAAAAAGTAAAATGATTATGAATTTAATGTGAAATTTTATCTTATTAATTATTTTAGCATGTTTTACAATTTTATGTATTTTAATCCAAAAAAACACCTCACATCAATCTAGTGATACATTTTGTATAAATAACAATTTCGATGCAAAAATACGGCAAGATTGTGGTTTTATTTGCACTAGAACCCAAACTTTACTAGCATTTTCTTATTTTTGCAATTAGATACACTTTTCTTGTTGATTTGTAATTTTTCCAAAATAAAATATGTTGACCAGGTTTATTTTGGTCCTAAATAAATTAGTATATATTTTGAGTACTTGTTCCAATTTTTTTTTTTTTATTATTATTATTTTGGTTTTTGGTTGAATGGTTTATATTAATTGTACAAGAAGAGCAATGCATTTATTTAAAATTATATACTGAAAAAAGGTACACATCTCCGAGGGCTACACTATGTGCTTGCTCAGAGTGTGGAGAGGTCTTCCCCACCATGGAAAGCTTAGAGATTCATCAAGCAGTTAGGCATGCTGGTATTTTGTCTAGTCTCTTTCTTTCTTATTTATAATTCATGTGTATCTTTTAAGTTTAACATCTATTTTTTATTATTTGTTTGGCATATAAGGTTTTGATTAAAATAATCACAAAAGGACAAAATAGACTTTTTAGTTTAATAAGATTAAGGCCTAGTTTGGCTACTCTCAAAAAAGTGCACTTATTTCATCTTTTTATCTTTTTTGGGTCACATCAATCAACATCTCCTCTCTACTTTTTCTACACATAATACAAAAAAAGTCAAAAAGTGCACTTATTTAGTCTTCCCAAACTAGGCCAAAATATCATATCATATCAAAATCATAATCATTTTATTTTTGCTCTCACAAAAGTCAAAAAAATCAAAAAAACCTATCCAAATAAGGCTTTTTAGCCCTAGGCTAAAATAGCCAAAGAGTCAATCACATCCCAAACGAATGCTTACTTATATATTTTAGAAAAATTACAAATCAGTTAGAAAAAGTGAAAAAAATATGAAAATGTAAATGGTGTTCAGTACAAATAAGGTTACAACAATTTTTACTTGCATTTGAGTACATAATCACTTCCGGAAGTGATTTGAAATGAGAAAAAAAAAATTAAGTAAAATATAAATAAAATATATTTACAGTTCACCTAATTTGACATATTTTTCTTTTTTCTTTTCAAATTCATTCTCAAATTCCAACCAAATACAGCGTTATAGTTTCATATTTTTACAATTATTTTTTATTTTGTTTCATTAATTTTCAATTCTCTTTCTTTAATACATGCACACGCATTTAAATTCCAGGTTAAATTTTGCTGATATCAGCAAATGTTTACTCATATGCTATCAGTTCAAATTATGCCTTTTCTACCTTTAATTTCGAAAATCAGGACCTACCATTATTCCACTAGATGCAATAATCTTAAAAACTTTTAACTATTTCATTTGGCAAACATTTTTTTAATTTATTTAGACCATATATCGTTTTGTACAAAGTCATGTGTTCAAAAAAGTATATGTCAATGTTAAATGAAGGTTAAAATGAACATAATTCAAACAAAGGTTACCTTGACCAATGATTTAACTTTAGATATTGTCCGTAAAATTATTGTAAAAGTAGCCATCGTGGCTTTTTAACTTTTTATGTCTCCAACAAATCTAAATTACCTAACTTGTCTCGAGATCATAATATACACTACCTTTCATTTCATTTTTGGGGCATTTTTTTTCTTTCTATTTTCAAATTTCTCAATTGTTATCTCAATGCATTTCGACCAATGAATTATGTTTTAAAAATTACATATGTCAAAATTTCTACATATGATACAATAATAAAACACACATTAAGGCAACTCAAAATAAGCAAATAATTTGAAAATAAAAAATCATCAATAAATTTACAAACACACAAAACAACTAGGCAAAAAATATATATAAAAAAATAAATTTTTTATACAAAAGTATACATCATTATCAAATTTTATTAAATTTTAATTATTAATATTTTCTATGATTGTGATTGAAAAACCAAAAATTCATTTGCCAATTGGACCTACCTAGGGCTTATTTCCAGCTGTGTCATAATAGAGGAAGAAAAGTAGCCTCCACCTCCACTGTGTTTATATAATCCCACCGGTCATATCATAAAATCATCCAACGGTAATCGTGGAATCATCCTTGACCCCACCGACAGATTGAGCAAAACGCTGCTAAAGAAATTTCCAACGTGCAAAAGTGTTTTTTCGATCAAAGTAAATTTTTATTTTTTTAAAAAATGAAATATTCAACAAATTTTATATGTTAAATAATTTAAATTATTAAAATAAAATTCATAATAATTCCATAGACGTGAACAGAAACCGTAATAAAATCCATCCCAAGTTTTCCCAAGACTACGCGGTTCAACAACCCTGGTCCCGGCCAGTGGGCCATATTTCTTTCCCACACTATATGGACTAAAGATAATTTGTTTCATTTAGAAAAATTATGCAATGATTTACGTATAAATTAACATAATATCTTAATTTAATATTGATTGATTAAAATTATAAAATTTAATATTTTTTTTTGTTAAAAAAGTAAGTGATAACTTGACGAGTGTGAAATAATAAGTGATATGAAAAAACATTTCAAGATAATCAAAAAATCATTTGGGATTCTGGATAAATTTGTCATTTACTTCCATAGGGAAAATTTCATAATCACAATTTGTTGCTGGCAAACAGTGTCGGAGCTAGGTCCGGAAGATTCGGGTCGGAACATAGTGGAAATAATATTCAAGTCAAGTTGGCTCAAGAAAGACAACCCAGTCTGCAAGATCGAACGGATATTAAAAGTCCACAACACCCGACGCACCATCCAACGGTTTGAAGACTGTCGAGATGCGGTGAAGATCCGTGTGAACGCCAACACCAAGAAAAACCCCAGGTGCGCCGCCGATGGAAACGAGCTGCTACGCTTCCACTCCACGACTCTGTCGTGCACTCTCGGCGCGCGCGGCTCATCGAGCCTGTGCGGCTTAACGCCAGGTTGCGGAGTGTGTACGGTTATCAAGCATGGATTCTCAGGAAAAGCATCAGACGGTAAAGGGGTACGCACAACGGCAAGTAGTGGTAGGGCCCACGATTGCATCAACGGTGGGGATGGTCGCAGGGCAATGCTGGTGTGCCGTGTGATTGCGGGAAGGGTGAGGCGTATGGCGGATGATGGGGCGGAGGAGGAGGAAAGTGTATCGGCTGGCTCGTATGATTCTGTAGCCGGTTACGCTGGGATTTACTCAAATCTCGAGGAGCTATATGTTTTTAATCCGAGGGCTATCCTTCCATGTTTCGTAGTGATCTACAAAGCTCTCCAATGTAGTGGTTGAATCCGAAGCATCTCTTTTTGTAACTTTGTTTTTGTATGGAATTAGCTAAACCAAGCTGGCCCATATATCACTGTCTTGTATATATTAATCTTGTTTTTATATGTTGTCACATGGTTACATAGTTTTCATTTGGTGGTCTAGCTCAACTGCTCTAAGTGCAGTCCTTTTGTCTTTTTTTTTAAAAAAAAAATATTAAATTAAATTGGTGGTGACTAATAATCATTGTATGTTCTTGCAATGACCTTGAAAGAAAGTTAATTAGAGATTTTGATCTCTATTACATATATAAGTTTATTGGTTCATGACAAAATGGAGTTTTGCCTAGGAAATACCACCTTTGTATATATGCAAGTCCATTGGTTCTTATTGTTTTCAAGTGCTTAGACTTTTAAACAAGCTATATTATTATTATACAGTTGGTGACTACTAACTGGCAATACTTATGGGATCCTAAAGTATTAAAAATGGGTGGAGGAGGCTGGTTGGTTTTAAAATGCATATGATGTGTGAGCAAAAATTTATTTGTTTTATGTACACAATATTTTATTATAGAATTAGATATAATATTTTTATATTAAAGAATACTTGTATGCTTATAAAAATTTATTCTCATTTAAGAAATTATGTCTAATTTTGTGATTAAATTTTGTATATTTAGAGTTTTTTTATTTATTTATTATTATAATTAAGGTGTCTACCACCGAATATCTTGCAAGCAAAACTACATTAACAAAAATATATAAAAAAAATTATAAAAATAATATATGGTCGAGACGAGAACCATAATAATGAATTTGTTATACCAAGAAGTAAGTAAGATAAGAAACTTGGTGTAGTCAGAAAACAAATCTCAGATTGGGTTTGATGGGTGGATTAGTGAGATTCGCATGTACATGGCAACTATCAAATAATAAGCACGCGTTAACCATTTCATCATTGCCCTTCGCTCCTAATCAAGGTATCCTTCCTTTTCAAATTTTAAAAAGTAAGGATAAATTATAAATATATATTTTTGAGATTTATTTAAAGTATAAATGATTTTTTATAGTTTTAAAAATTATATTTCCTTTTTTTAAAATTTTAATTTTATACTAAATGACTATTTTTATTAATAAATTATTATGTCAATTAATAGTTTTTATTGATATCCGAAATATATTTTAATTAATAATTTAAGTAATTTTATTATTGTATAATAGATATGTAAGAAATTTTATTTTTTTAGTTAATTTTGTTAAATAAAAAATTTCTAACAATGGAATATTTATAATTTTTCAAATCACATAAAATAATTCGTATTTTAAGTAAACTTCAGATATGTATTTGTAATTACCCAAAAAGTAAAGATCATTTATTGATATCCGAAATATATTTTAATTAATAATTTAAGTAATTTTATTATTGTATAATAGATATGTAAGAAATTTTATTTTTTTAGTTAATTTTGTTAAATAAAAAATTTCTAACAATAGAATATTTATAATTTTTCAAATCACATAAAATAATTCGTATTTTAAGTAAATTTCAGAGATGTATTTGTAATTACCCAAAAAGTAAAGATCATAAAATATAGCTAACTCATTCTATGTTACTTATCAGACCTTTCTATTTCAAAATTTAATTAATAAACACATAACTAAACAAATATATAATTTGATTCCTTAAGGATGGCTCTTACTACAAGGCCTTGTTTCCCCATTTCTTCCCACTATAAAGACGGAGGCCCACTAATTTCAGGGATAGCTTGGAGCCCAACTAGTCGTATGAAATGGATAGAATAGTTCTTAATATACTGACCCACTTTTGAGCCCATATGAGCTTGGAGCCCAACTAGCAGTATGAAATATATAGGATAGGCCTTTATATACTGACCCACTTTTGAGCCCATAGACCATGGCCCATATGATGTGCCTAAGTGCAACCCAATCATGTACATTTTGGCTAGGTTGGTTTTCGTTGTTCTATTGGACCATTTTATTCCGTAGAGCATCCACACCAGGCTTGTTGTAATAGTTGAGTTATATTATTAAGGAAAGATGCTGGTCATCTGACTAGATATCTAGCCGAACAATTGACTACTACACTCATTTTTTTTTGGAATATAAGATATAATATTTTATCATTTATTACTGGTCATCCGATACAAACATCCTGTCGGATGACTCATTACAACAATTTATACTTTTGACGATCAAAATTGACGACTAAAATTTAAATTAATTGGCATTGTCTAAAGTTTTAGCTACTAAATTTTTTTAGTCGCGGTATATTATTTATTGGCGACTATAAAATAATTTAGTCGCTAAATATGCCACAATAGGTGACCAAAAGTTTTTTTGGTCGGCATTAGTTCATGTTTTAGGCTACTAAAGTTTGTTTCAGTCATGGTATATCAACTTTTGCCTACTAAAATGAATTTAACACTACTGGAAAATCCACTTTTAGCGGCATTTAAAAAACGCCGCTAAAAGTACTAAAAACGTCATTAATTCTTTTTGTGGCGTTTAGTACTAAACGTCGATGACGCGGCCATCGTTATAACTTTGTGGCGTTTTAAAAAACGTCGTTATATTAGTATAGGCGGGGTTTTTAAAAACGCCGCCAAATGTCCTACCCTAACTGCACTAGGACGTCACTATGACATTTAGTGACGTTTTTGAAAACACCGTCATAGACATTTATAAATTTTAAAAATCTAGCCATTGGGGTGGGATATAGTGACGTTTTTTAAATGCCGCCATAGCCTTTTTTTTTAATTTTTAAATTGTGCTAATTTTATATGGTTGAACAAAAAAAATACCAGTCAAACAATTATTAAGAACTAATAATTAATGTTTATTAAAATAATAAATAAACTAAGCTTGAAAACAAAATTAAAAATAAGAAACAATGCATTGCATACCTAAGAATAGAAACAATTCAGACTTTAAATACATCAATTAAAATCAAAATGGTCAAGAAGTGTAATTTGTACAAAAAAAATTATAAAGGAATAGAAAGCACACTAATATGTGAGATTTGAAGTCTGTATTGTTTCAACTTGCTGAATTTTGAACTTCATATATGTTAAAAGTTTTATATCTCAAAATTCAGCAGTTTTACATCTCAAAATACAAGCATCAATTTTTGGTGACGACATTTAAATTTTGGAGAACACTTTGCAACTGTTTATTGCCTATTCAATTTCAAATGCGATTGTAAAGTCCATTCCAGTTGAACATCGTCTTGTCATCGACGAATATTAGAGGACCATATCTGGGCGCACATGCATTGAAGAAATAAGTGATGACCAGCTAACTATCCACAACTTCGCACCTGACTTTGTTCAGTTGACTGATCTTCAACGCTACGATCAGCCGCCACAAGACATAAGTAAGATTTGTCCATCTACTTAATACACAATGTGACACATAGGTATACCAATTCATACTGTACTGTTATTACTTGCAGATGTGTTATTTGCGGTCCTACAAGTTGCACCAACTCGCAAAATCAAAGTTAAAAGTGTCCACGATAATGCTCGCACTGAGTCTTTCTTGCAAGAGGCTGTTATCATAGATAAAGAGTAAGCCCCAAACCAACTCATTCACAAATCATTACAGTATTCTATTCAAACTCTAACAAATCTTACTTGCAGCATTAAACCTATGATATTGACATTGTGGGAGCAATTCGAGCCGAACAAGGGAACTGCAATTTCCAACATGCCAAGTCAATTTCCAATTGTGATTGGAATAAGATTAAAAGCAACAAACTATAATGGTAATTTAATGGACTATCACTTTAACCATCCTATTAATTATATTAACGTGAAAAAATAACACACTTACGTATTGAACAGGACTAGTGCTCAACACAACATCTGGAAGCACCCTCATTCTCAACATCTGGAAACTACTGTTAGGTCAACCTGCTGAATTTTGAGATATAAAACTTTTAACATATATGAAGTCCGAAAAAATTTGAACACAATCTATAAGTGGGATAGCTTTGATATGAAAAAGGCCAAAATAAGAACAGAGAACGGTAAAATAAAATTATATATGTTCATGTTATAGAAGGACAAACAACAATGCATACAATTATACTCAAAATAAAGAATGAGAGCTAGGAGCTTTTACATCAAACTGAAATTTCAAAATAGTTAAATTTGCAGTATAAGGCTTGACATCATTGTTCTTTTTCCATTAAATAAAAATGCTCTCAAATATGCCCTGCCTTAAGATGCACCTCAATTCAACTGAGTAATGCATATGATAAAGATGCTCTCAAAGTTTGAAAACAGCATAACACAAGCTGAATCATCAAAAATATTAATAGACACACCGCAATGCAGTGTGTAGGGTCCAAAATGACCAATCCAATTACCATACCAGTTTTCGCGTCCTGTGATGCAACACTATCTTCAGCCTCATAAGAAGATGGCTCTTTGAATGAAATCCACAACCACAGTAAGTAGATGAGCCATGCCAGAGCCATAACCCATCCGGGCAAAGTGTTTTCATTAAATGTAATATTGAAGAGCTTAAATTGCGTTTGGAGTAAGAAAGTGAGAGCAGGACCACATGCCATTCCAAGGGCACTGGCACTAACAAAACCTGCAGAAGCCTGCATTCGCATTTTAAGAGGTTCACAATAGCTGATATAACGCCTGTTAATAGCTCTGGCAGAACCCAACGTGCAAGATTGATAAACATAGCATTGTTGATTTGTTATGTAAACAAATGAACACGAATAATATTTCCATATAAAATATATCATTATAAAATGCAAAAATTCCAATGAGTCAGGACTTAATCCGATGAGGTATGAGCTAAACATATTAGCTTGATGCTATCTTACCCAGAGAATATATTCACTCTGTTTGGTTTTAAGTTTTCAAAAATAATTTTTTGAGTTTTCAATCTGTATGTTTTTGTTTTCAGTGAATTTTTTTAACATTTTAATCAAATTTTTTTAGTTTTTAGATTCACTTAAGAAGTACGATATCTCTGCAAAAATCTTTCAAAAATTTATTGAACACAACAAAATATGAAAATGTATTGAATTTTTCTTCAGATCTCAAATTATGCTAAGGCAACATTTGTAACTAAATATAAATTAAATTTTTTACTAATCAGTTGACTAAGTTAGTCTAGTTATTGTGGCGAAAGCATTGTAAGATATTGTGCAATGAGTTTGAGCATACAAAAATTTCCAGGAAAAAAAAAAAAGAAGAATGCAAAATGGTCTATAATAGGATTTAAGCAGACTTGTTAAGTAAAATAATACACAAACTTTCAAATATTTTAACAAATGAAGGAAGGAGAATGAGAATGAGAATATGATCACCTACCCACAACATAGGCGGCCGATTAGAAGAACATATATGGAGTCAAGATCATAAGCCAAGGCATATAAGGTGTTCCCCACAAGAAGAACAATACTGCTAAATACAAGAGGTCTGAAGTACGATATATTTGACCACACACTGAAGTATATTGAAGAAAACACATGTGCAACTGCCATTGCCCCAATCACAACACCGCAAACGGTTGCAGCAGCTCCAAGGCTTATGGAGTAGTCGTCTGCTGTTGGGACAATAATGTATGTGTTGGCCATATACAAAAATGTGTTGACTAAGTTTAGAACAATGATAGACAACTATGTTCTTGAGTTGAAAGTTCTAATAAGTTGGTTTTGCATGAGTTTTCACATAAAAGAAAAAAAAAGTTAAGTTTATTAATGAAAAAATGAGGGTTTATATAGTACTTCAAACAACAATAAAGTTTAAGCTTAATAGTATACTCATAAAATCTATAAAGGATAAACTATACATAAAATGGCAGCTATTTGGTAGATTAAATTTCTGTCACAAACTGTATTTTTTTTGTGCAAAAGCTTTATTTTTTTGTGAGCCAATAGGCCAATTATCTTCAGTTTTTAAGCACCAAATATATGTACATCTTATATTAGACTACCAGCAAATATATGTACATCTTATATTAGACTACCAGTGTTTTGATGAAATTTAAAAAGAACGTTGAAGAAAATTTTGACCTGCCTTAGTTAGATTTGAAGATGATTTAAAGAAATTGACATCTCAATCAATAATTTAAACAAGAAATATTTGTACAACATCTTATATAGATTCTTTAAAAATAAAAAGACCGGTATCCATAATTATATAGATCCAGTCTCCATTGGTTACGAGAGGCTGCTAATAATATGTTTCCCTTTATGTTAAGCAATCCCAAGTGCTCTACTTTCTCAAGTTCCTTTCACCCTCCCAAATAATTTTAGTGTGGTATAGCTTTTCACCTTTATCTAGAAAGTGAATGAAAAAAAATATATATTTGTACACACGCATAATGATTTGTACATCTCAGATACATACATCTCAGATCAACCAACCACAGTACAAAAAACCTAACTCCATGTTTTGTGTATCTGAATGTGTGTGTGAATCCAGATCCATACTACTACACCAATTCAAGAGGATTTAGATCAAAGCAAACCTAGTGCAAAACATCTAAAACACAGAGAGAAGATACATAATTCAAATCCAACAAGTTAAAGAACATTGATAAGGTGGAAGATTGAGTTTTATTTTTCCAATAAGAAACTCATCTATTTATAAATTATATTGGCCGGTTTCAGTAAATATCAGATGCAAACTTTCAATGAAATGCCCATGATGCCAAAGCGAGTAGATTAACAAAACTTCGTACAATGACAATGCATTCACAAATGAATTGTAATGAGCTTCAATGGAAATAATGTGCAGCAATGCCCATCTAAATGCGCATTAACTTCCATGCATCAAACTAAATCAAGTCAAAGTAATATGATGAACATACAGAACTATTGAGAGATTTGCTTATACTTAAAAGTCCTAAAGGATTAAAAGCAGGAAATATTAGCTACTGTAATGCATGTAAAACTTATCAGCATTTTTCTAGCTAATTAAAATAGTAGAAGATTGCCAATACAAATGCAATTAAAATGAGTGAAAACACACAGCATGTCTTATAGTAAAATGTAATTAAAATAGTACTGTCGCCCAAGGAATTCTTTGGATATCTTTACCTCTCCTAGCTTGAGCAGCAGAAGTATATGCCATTTTATTATTCTAAATAGGTACCAAACAGTTAGTATTTCATATATCCTGAGCTTGATGGGAAAAAACATCTAAAAGTTACTTGAAAAAAAGAGAGAAAAAACATGCCAATAGGAGAGAAATAAACAAAGAAAAGTGGTAAGACTTGCAGTTAGATAGCATATCATGACAACAAACTATGGTTCAAACTTTATAAAGTTTATATCACAAACCAAGTAGTCATATTCATCCACATCAGAGTCTGAGCCACCCATCTCTCTTCCACGAAACTCCTCGTCCATATCATCATCCACATCTTCCATTTCATATTTATCTGCCATGTATTCAGCATCATCCACTTGGTGATGAGACATGGTCTTCACAAGTGAACGTCAACCTAAAATGACTCAAAAACAAGTAACTCAAGAATTAGTAAAACATACATGATAGAACTTCAACCCAACATCCAAACTATCGAAACAAAAATTTAATAACTAAGTTAACACACAATTAATCATCAACGTCTCTCTTTCGTACATTGTCAAGTCAGTTTTAATTCCACTGCCACTCAGTACTGGCCTACTGGCCTATGCATGATGATGGGGAATGATGCATAATTGTCAATAAACAATAAGATGTATAGTTTAATAAAACTAACAATTCAAGTCCAAGCACTTTGATGCCACATTGCATTGGGCCACCATACAATCACAACCAAACTGACCTTAATAATTCAGAACTCTAGTCCAAAGAAGTTCGATAGCACAAAGGCATTGGGTTTCATATTTAAGTCTTTTACAATTCTTAAAGCCAATTTTTATAACTTTAGTATGTCCAAAAAAACTGAAATTTGTTCCCATTCTCAAACAAAATCAATGTCAACACACAGATTAAAAATAATAATAAAGCAGAAATTTATCAAAAAAACTTAAATTTTTACACAAAAATCACAGGAATAGTATAAATTAAAAAACAATCGCAAACCCTACAAACAAAATGATAAGGAAATAAATTAATTTCCACGTAATAATTGAAAACCCTTAAAAACTGATGAAGATCGATATTCCGTTGATAAAGGTCTAGAGGTCCAGCTTTTGCAAGATCAAACAAAAAAAAAAAAAATCATAGAATTACCTTTGAAATTGGGCGAATCAAATCTGAGAGCGAGGAATCCAGGATGGTTGATAATCACTTCCAAAAAAAAACCATAGAATTACCTTAGTGAAATCAAAATCACCGGTGCAGATGGTGGTGGGGATGGAGCTTCGAAATCAAAATCGCTCTGAAATCACTGAATCACTGCATCTCTGAATCTCTGCAAATGAGGATCAAGTAAGAATGCCTTAACACATTGATTTCAGAAATCTAAAGAGAGATAGAGATCTAGAGACAGAGAGAGAGAGAGAGAGACGGTGGAGCTCGCTACCTCGCCGGTGCAGAGGTGGTGGCGATGGAGCTTTGAAATCGCTCTGAATCTCGAAATCGATCTGAATCTTCGAAATCGCTTCGAAATCACTCTGAATCTTCGAAATCATCGGTGCAGATGGAGCTTCGATGGAGAAATGTGTGCGTGTAAGGGTTGAGAGAGAGAGAAATCACAGAGATCTTAGTAAAATAACCAAACTACCCCGATCTCCATAGCTGAGCTTCAAGGTAAGACTCAATGTTATGTATACTTACAGGATTGAGAGTGTTGTGTTCTTTGAAGCTCTCTTCAAGAACAGCCGATTGATCTTTCGAGAGACGAAGCCTCTTCCTAGAGTTATCAATAATTGCTGAGAGACAGAGAAAGAGATGTGTGCGTATATAATGGTTGAGAGAGAGAAAGGGCTCAGATTCAAAATAAGGGTTTCACAAAGAAGGATCAGCACGTGATCCTACCGCATTTGGAGGCGGTTTTAAATGCCTTCAATTATAAAACAGTGTCGTTTTAGTTAAACAATATGCGACGTTTATAAAAATGCCGTTAAAAATTAAGAAAAGTGATGTTTAAAAAAACGTCGTTAAAAGAACGCCATTAAAACCTATTTTTCCTGTAGTGTAATTGCCAAATAGCTAGCATAATGTTTTCTATTACTCTTTGGCGACAAAAAATTTGATTGACAAATATTCTTTTTCGGTGACTAAAATGATTTTAGTCGCCAATTAGTATTTCTGCCTACTAAAATAATTTAGTCGCTAAATAAAAAGCATAAATTTTATTTTTTTATCTTTGGTGACAAAATATTTGGTCAGTGAATATTTCTTTTTGGTGACTAAAATACTTTTAGTCGCCTAAAGTACAACAATAGGTGACTAAATTTACATTAGTCAGCAATGGTATGAAATTTTTTGGTGGGAACGTTTTCAAATATAGAGGCAATTATATTTTATTAGTTTTTTTTTTCATATTTGGTTTTATTAGTCTCCAACCTAGACAAAAACAAGACGACTCTTGCTCTCCCCCCTCTCTGTCTCTCTCTCTCATACTCACCGTCGATCTTTCACCATTGCTTACCTTTGATGTTCCAGCGTCGCACGTCACCACTGCCACCGCTGCTCACTCGCCGTTCACCTTGCAACTGCTCGCATTGCATCTCTTTAACATTGATGTTTTTCTCTTCCTCTCTCTATCTCTCTCCCTCTCGGTCTCTATTTTCTATCTTTCTTTCTCTATTTCCCTATTTTATTGTATCTCTAGGGTTTTCTTTTTTATGGTGTAGGATTTTGATTTATGTGAAATTAATGAACTAATGATTGAAATGGGTTTCTATAAAATGATTGAAGGAACAAGTAATTTATTGAGGTTTTTTTAACCAGAATCAAGATTTTCCCATTTCACTCTAGTTCCAGATTCAAGATTTAGGCAGATAATTGAAAAAAAAAATTTAAAAGGTGACAAGTTTTTTTTTAATCTTTTATGGGTTTTTTTTTTCTTCTTCTAGATAATAGACAGTTATTCTTCTAAAATTAGTTTGTTACTTATTAAGAGCAAGACATCTATGATTTCATTTGCTATAAGAACTTCATTTAGAATTTGCCTCCTTTGAATCAAACCTTACTACAATACATTAAATATATAGCTGCTCCTCTCTCTGTTCTGCTTTAAATTCCCAATTCAAAGCTCCCAATTTAGAGCTCTCTTATAACTTAATTTCTATTTTGTTTTATATTTTTTCTCTGAATTAGAGCTCTCTGTGAAGTGGGTTGGTGTTTAATTGAGAGAAAGATAGTTCCTGGGATCTGTTTCTGAGTTTTCTTGACCTGAATTGACTCATGGTTTGAAATGGTTCTAAATTAAGCTTTTTAACTATTGGATGCTTCTGTGCTGGAATGCTCTTCACTTATAGGCTAGCTTTGAATGTTTTGTTTAATGTCCTAATTGATGATTTCTATTGATTTCGATTTGTATGGTTGATATGTTCAATTTGATGAAGTGGGTATCAATTTGTTTCATTGAAATTTCTATATTTTTGTTTGGTTTTTTTAATGGGTTATAGATTTGAGAGTTAGTGGTTTTGTGAAATTTGCTCATTTTGGAGTGGTGGTGATGGAAAATTATGTGGAGTTTTGTTGTTATGGGTACCCATTGCAGAGAATTTAAATAAAATAAAAAGAAAATGTTTGAGACCCCGTTAATCTCCCATAATTTAACTTACAATGATTTAATTTGATATGTGTTAATTTTTAATTAGTTACAGGCATATTAATATGGGATTCACCACCCTTATCACATCATTATAAATATATTTATAGTTGTAAAATATAGGTCTGTAATATTGTTAAAATAAAAATAAATAAAAACCACCACTGCATTAAATTGATAAGAGGAGTCTAATTTTTAAGTCGGGATCTTAGAGGATTTTTTTGTATGGCTGTTGTATTATCAATTTTTAATTATTGTACTTTCAATTTTTATAAAATTAACTTTTAGTACCATCAAAATCTAATAAGGTTAAGGGCACATTCTTCAATTAAATTTATTTTTTTTCCTGTTTTCCATGTTCATTAGTATTTAAGGGTATAAATGACACTCCATTGTGCTTAGAAAGTTATATAACAAAATTTAACACCACTTATTTGCTGCTTTTAGATTGAAGTCCTTCTTGGTTAGCTCTCCTAGTAGTCTACTTCTGCAGAAAGTAAAGGTTGCCCCTCTCACTAGGTCTCTTAGTCGTCCACCTTCCTTTTTTCTCCAAAAAGACAAAATGAGAAGGAAAAAATCCTAACCCTAAACCACCCACTTCTCTCATCACTATCTGCCACCTCCCTTCCTCTCTCCTCCTCATTCTCTTCACCTTTCCTGCCACCCACTCCTTATATATTGTTGTTACTGATAAACACTAAATTCAATCTTGCCTCTATACTTTTTCTTTTTAACAATAAAAAAATAGAGTATCAAACAATGGAAGACTTAGAATACAAAGTATGAAAATAGTCCCCGCGTGTGAAGTGCTAATGAAGTGTTTGTGTTGATGCCTCAAATATCTTGATGATGGGAATAAAATTAAAATTGTTGTTGTTGATGTGTTTATAGACTCGTAATAAATGTTTTTTGAATTTCAAATATTTCACTATTAACTATAAGAATAAAAGTCTTTCTATATTATTTTGTTTTCATTTTCTGCGCTTTTTCCATTGTCCTTGGTCATGGGTCTCTCTAGTTTAATTGCAAAGATGGAATGAAACAAAAAACAAAAGAAAAATAAATTTGGTAAGGATGCTTCATTGCATTGTTTGGTAACATCTCGTATTTGAAAAAGGACTTTCGGGGGTGAAAATGCAAAACTGCCCCCAAACCAATGTATGGCTGTCACGGTACTATACATTTTTGTACACAAAGCGCTTGATTTTTGTAACTTTTGCAGTTATGTTTTGTATGGAATTATTATTTTAGTTTGGACTATATAATACATGTTGGATTATGGTTTGTATGAAATTTTACATTCACAATTTTACATTTTTGGATGGGTGGAAGTGAAATGGATGCAGATCTATTGTGGAATGACTGATAATATATGTATTGCTTTGTTCATATATATAGTACAGGTTGCACGGAATACATACAGGCTGTAAGCAAATTAAAATTTGGAGAGAAAGCATAAATTTTTGTTTTTGGCAACTAAACAATTCGTAGGCGTAAAGGAAGTATATAATTTAGCGACTAAATAGTTAGTAGCTAAAAAAAAATTTAAAAATATTTTTGGCGACCGAAAGTTTAGTAGCCAAAAAAACAAATCACACTTTAGGCGATTAAAATGTTTAGTAGCTACAAAATTGCAAACAAACTACGAAAATGTTTTGGTGACTAAAGGTTTAGTAGGTAAGAATGATTTAGACTTTAGGCTACTAAAAGTTTAGTAGCTGAAAACAAATCAAACATTAGGTGACTAAATTATTTAATAGCTAAACAAAAATAACCTGAACAAGAAGTCATTTTTGGCGAGCAGTTAGTGGCCAAAAACAAATCAAACTTTCGGCGACTAAAAGTTTAATAACCAAAAAAAAAAATCAAATTTTAGGTGACTACAATATTTAGTAGCTAAAAAGCAATAATATGACATAAAAAAAATTATTTGGTGACTACAATTTTAGTTGTAAAAAATAATTCTCAACTTTTGGCGACAACAAATTTTAGTCGCTGAAACTGTTGTAAATAATTTTCCTTTAAGGCTTTTGGCGACTCAAAAAATGGTCGGCAATTTATTACTTTTAGTGACTAAAACTTTTTTAGTCGCCAAAAACCCTTCCCGACAATTGGTCACCGACAAACATGGTGACGAAAACTTTTAGTCTATAAAAACCTTTGCTAACTAAAACATGACTTTTGGCGACCAAAAATTTAGTCGCCAAAAGTGCTATTTTTTGTAGTGAGTGCCCCATTTTTTTTTGTGTTGAGGAATATGCAACAAATTTTCCTAGAAGCTTCTAGTAGATGTTTGGGTTTATTATTTGCATAATCGAGCAGATCATAAAAAATGAATAGTTTAAAAAATTGAATTTTAGAATAGAGAGTTTTATGGAGGTGTATATACAAAAAATATTAGATAAAATAGAAAAAGTAAAATTTTAATTGTAATTTAATTCAAAATTTATTGAACCTGATGTGGATGCTTTTACATCATGGGCATGAATACAAATCTTTTATCAAACTTGATTTCTTCAATAGTAAATGAGTGGGGAGTTTGCGCCAAGTAAACGGGCCGAGCTAGTTATGACTTGGGCCTTGCTGTTAGATTATGCGATCGAGTTGGCATAACTAAAGGTAATTTGGCCGAGGTTCTAGATCATGCGACTAAGTTAGCCCAAGGTCCGGAAGTTAGACCGGGTTAAGCCAAGATAGGTGAAGCGATGGTCCAAGGCCGAGCAAGGTCAGCGGGAACGAACGGAGTTGGGCAAACCAAGCTAGTTATTGAGCGCGACTTTGAAGGTCAGCCGGAATTGAGGCTAGAATTGATCAGTCTATGCCTAGCTCGGTGGAAATTGCCAAGTGGTCCAATTGGAGTGCGAGAAGAGAAACCCACCAATGGTGT